GCCTTTATTTTTCTTTTTGGCAGATGCTAGTTGAGTTGTTTTCACCTAATATCCTCTCTTAGCTGCATGTATATTTATTTATAATTATAACCCTGGTGGACTGCAGCTTTCATCTTTGTTGGGAATGAGTTTGTTCTAAATCAGAATTGGGTCCATGACTACAATTTGTTTTCCAAACTCAGTCTGTTCCCTGCTCCCCACCATAGAGGAGTGAGGTCGGGGGCTAGGAGTCCCACACAGAGTAGGGGGAGGGGGGAGCCCATGCAGCTGCACCACCTGGTCTTTTAATTTAACTGTATTTAATTTGTTTTCAAAATTAAAAGTCAAATATGGTTTTTAACAGTCTTAATCCTCCTCAGCCCTTTATTTTATTCTCCTATATTGCTGTAACCAGCCAACAAGTATTCATCAGGTGCCTGCTATGAACAAGCATTATTCTAGGAGCAGTGCGGAGCAGTGAGAAACCAGAGCACTTGTCTTCATGGAGATTTTCTTCTCTTGAGAGGACCTGGATGGACAATAAGCAGATCTATAGTATTTTAGATGTGATCTGTTCTAAGGACAAGAATGAGGTCAATGGGGGAGACAGAGTAGAGAGGACCTGATCACTACACAAGGTGGTCAGAAAGGCCTCCCTGATAAGGTGACATCTGAGCAGCTGAGTAGCATGCAGACATGCCATTATCTGGGTAGGAGCATTCCAGAAATGAGAACTCTCTCCCCAGTGGCAGTGGGAGACTGCTTAGCATGTTTAAACACCGGCAAAAAGGCCAATGTGACTGCAACTGACTGGGAAATGTGGTGGGGAACAGCGGGGCGGTGCCCCGTCAGTGGTGGGAGATGGGATGGACATGGGATGGGGGGAGGAGGGCACAGATTATGTTGGAGGATTTGGGGCAGACCGATATGATCTAATTGACCTTTTAGAAGAATACCTCTACTTTCTGTGCTGACAATAAACAGAGAGGGTGAACAAGGGCAGGCTAGGAGTGGTGGCTCCTGAAATAATTCAGGCACGGGACGACGCTGAGTTGGATAAAGGTGCAAGCTTTGGGGCAGAGAGAAGGGGTCGGGTTCTGGATGTGTTTAAGAGAGACAGCTAAGAGAATTTGCTGATGTATTGGATGTTGGATATGAAAGAGGACAGCCAGAAGTCACCTGAGGCACAGAAGAGAATTGCCAGTTCCTGATATGGGGCAGAGTGCAGGAGAAATGATGTGGAAGTAATTGGAGTTTGGTGTCGCATGGGTCACATGCCCATTAGACACGTGCAGGAGAGAAGGTGAGTAGATGGTGGCTAGCACACCTGGAGCTCAGGTGAAGATGAACATTGGAGAGTAAGATGTGTCAGGCTGTCTACAAGTCCCAGGTGGATGAGGCTACCGCAGTGAGTGGACAGAGGGAAGAGCCCACGGAGTGGGTCTGGACCCTCCAGCATTTAGAGGTTGGGGTTATGAGAAGGATTCTTCAAGAGACTCTTGAGATGAGGCCATCCGGTTGGGAAGATCTGGACAAACCATGAATAAGCTCTGGAAGATGATCTCTGCCAAGGGGCTTTGACAAAGAGAAGCCACAGGGCTATTTGGCAGATAAGAAAGTCAAGAACAGTAAGTTGGGGCAGGAGGCCCTCCCCCTGAGAAAGGGCCAATGCATCCCTGTACAGAGTTGCCTAAGAGAGTAATTCAAGTGGATTCATCACTTTACAAAAGGATTCATTGTAAGATTCCTTTAAATACCAGTTCCCTGTCACATTTTCCAACAGGAACCAACTTACATACAGCTTTGTAGAAGTACGCTCTGATAAAGTGAGGAGCAGCAATACTGCTCCCCAGCACTGGTCATGCCCCAAACAGTCCTGCTCTCATCTACGTCTTAGCTCCGTGCTTTCAGTTCCAAAGCAGTTCAGGAATAGCTGGTGAGTTTGGCCAAAACTGGGGACTTTGCCTTATCTGCCAGCCATTGTCCACAGAGTTCACTTCAATAAGCCCTACTTCTCTGCTCAGCCCCCTGTGACTGTCCTCGACATGGCTCAGCTCTTGGGCCCAGTGGCCGCACACCACAACTGCCCCCAGCGCAGAACCCTTTCCTTAGCCAAACACAGGATGCGAGCCTGTGAGGCTGCTGGGAGCCTCATGGCTGGCTATTGCCCACCTGTCTTTATGGGTGCCTGGTGTAGGCACTTACCCTGTGGCGGTATCTGCTGCTTGATTTTGCCTATTATTGAAGGTAGTTTGTGGCAGTAGAATCCAGATGTTGTTTGTGAAGAAAACTCACCCACTGTAGCTGACTCACAGGTAGAGCTCTTGGCTGTCCAGCAGATTCTCACCCCTTGACCACCAGCACCAGCATAGATCTGTATTGGACTTCTCCTCTCCCAGGGTACTTCCAATCCACAGTGACATTTCAGGGGGTGGGAGCGTGGTCAGGAGGGAAGTGGTAAGGAGTCAGCATCTGGTGATTGAGCACCAGCTGGGCTAACTGTGTGCCTGACTGCATACTGCCTTTGCCTCTGGCTAACAGCAGCACAGATGGGATCAGAGAAATATCACCAAAGAGGGTTTGTTCAACTCTATTGCTTTATTGCAATTCAGGACAGAGAACCTGAGCCAAACCACTGGACTCAATCCGCAGAACAAGTGCCTCAAATGTGGACAGACAACTGTGAAGGAAGGCTGCCTCTCCTCCCTGCTACTTGGTCACAGGAGGTTCAGGGCGGGAGACCGAGCTGGAGGCAAGGTCAGCGCTAGGCCTGCAGGCCCTGTGGCAACCCAACATTTCCAGGAGGCGATCCACCCACACCACTGCAGTTGGGTCCTCTGCCCTTTACCTCCTGCACCCTCTGATAGGGGTGTGGTTTCTGCTAGGGTCTACATTTCCTCCTCTTCTCACTGAGTAAAACTGGAAATACTCTCTAATTCAGGAAAACAAGTGGCTGAGTATTTCTGCTTCTCTTAAGCTCGGCTTGTCATCCTGTCAGATGCAATTAGAGTGGGAATGAAAAGGAGAAACGTGTGTGTTTCTCAAGTGAAGTATCTTCCAGAATCTCAGAGAAGGTTTGAGGAGGGTTGTGAAGAAAGAACAGAGTTGACTCAGGTAAGATACCTGCCCTCCCCCCTTCACTATCCTCTACAAGTGGTGACAAACCCACTATTTCAGAAATGAAAAGGAGCCCTGAGAGATGTGGCCAGGCCAGGGGAGAATGTTTATAGGAGCACACGTGTGCAGCAGCCATGCCCAGCTAGTCAGGACCTCTCCTGAGGCCCATCTGTCACCACATGGAGATCTGACTAGACATTCCGACCCCAGATGTCCCTCTGTCCTCTCCCAGAAGAGCAGGGAGTAGGAAAGGCACCATCAACAGAGCCCAGTCAAGAAGCCACTCAGGTAAGAAGGGAGTCCTTCCCTCCCCAACCTACCTCTCCTTCAATTCTTTCAGATTTAGGGTCTTGAACTAAAGCAGTGGGCAGAGAGGTAGCCCTTGGCTCCCTGAGTTTGCTACTTAAGGACACTCTCCTGATGGGAGGGTGTGAGGGGGTAAGCACACCCAGGCTCCAATCAGCTGTGAGGAAGGGGGCACTGTCCTGCTTCCCGCCACCAGGAGGCGCTGGGAAGCGCTGCTCAGTTAAGATACTGGTTCCTGCCTAGGTGGGGTGTTTCAGTGAACCGTACCATAGGGCCTGCCATCTCCTCCTCGAAAACAATGACCTGGGGGAGAGAAGGGGGAGCCAGATGAGGGAACGGGCTGGGAACTGGGCTACAAGGAACAGGGACCCACAACTCATAAGCACCAAGGACGAGCACAGAAGGAACTGGTCAAAAATCCCGCCCCTCTCCTGTCCTAAGCAGACTTAATAGACTGTGACAAGGGCCTGCCCACCCCCCGCACCCCCACCCCCACCCCCGGAGAAACACTGTGATATGAGTGAGTGCAGGAAGGAGAAGGGCATCCCAGGGAAAATGGAAGGGGTTGCAAGTGTTCCCACCTGGTTGATGCCTTGATCCAACCAGGCACCTGGAAGGTAGAGGGTCTCCTGGGGTCCGATGTTCCAGTAGCGTCCGAGGTTTTGGCCATTGATGAAGACAACTCCCTTCTCCCAGCCCTTCAACAGAGCAGGGAAGGTGTCAGTCAACCACAAGAGCCAGCAAATGTCAAGTCCCACAGGAAGGCGGAGCCACGACTAGACACCTGCCATGCATTCTTTTCTCAGCTTCGAAGAGACCGATGTAAACGGGTATCTTAACAGCCATGAGGTTACTGGATCGAGTGTTCTATCTCCCATCCTAATAGCTCTGACTTCCCAGGCAGGGCATCCAAGCTCAGACTGGACATAGGGACCTGGACTCTGAGAAGTACCCTCAGGTGGTTCTGCTTTGACCCCCCCACTCCCTTCACCTAAAGGACATGATGGGGCCCTTTCAAAGAGGGCAACACAAAGACAGGGACCGTCTAGGCAAAGGTGGTAGAGAGGGCTCCAGCAAGGCTCAGGAGAGCCTTGGGGTAGCAAGCTCCCCCTCAGGGCTCAGACTCAGAGCACTCTGAGCGAGGATGAGAACCTGAGCAGGAAAGGGCTACAAACCTTCAGCTCCATAAAGGTGTCCAAAGGGGAAAGGTCAACGGACAAGGTACCCAGGAAGAAAGCAGGAAATGTAGGTGCTTCGGGAACAGGATTCCACATGCTGGCACTGAACCTATGGACAGAATGGAAGACAAGAAAGGAAGGAGGACACTTCCTCAGATCCGGGCCCCATCCTGCAGCTAATTGCAAAGGCACTCCAAGTTCCCCACCTGTCAACCAGAGCACAGGGACGGCAGCAGGGTGGTATCGTAGAAATTCCCTAGTCTCCAGTGCTGGCACTGTCCCTACCTGGGCACGTTGCTCTGGGTTCTGGTCTGTTCACATGTGAGTGGGAGGAGGGGTGAGGCCAGAGCAGCTGTCAGGGCCTTCCTAGCTCTTCTGCACGTTAACTAGGAGTTCACATACTGCCCTCGGCAGGGACCCACCTCTGAAAGAAGCTCTCTTTCATATCCAGGCTATAGATTCTGAAGTTTTTCAGGGGAGAATTATTCAGATAGATATTTCCAATCAAACCTGTGGGAAGGAGACAAGGAAACATGAACAAGGCCAAAGGTAAGGGGACAACTGACCTGCTGTGGCCAGGCACATACATGGAAAGTTTCTGAAAAGTTCAAGTGAGGATTTCTCCTGAAGTTTATACTCCCTAAGGGGCTCATCACATGCCATGAAACCTTCCCTATAAATCCCAAAGGGGATGAGAATGAGTAATACCAGTATTTGTCAGGCCCTAGGATTTGCATGGAAAAAATACATCAGGGCAATGACAGAGCTGAGAATGTCAAGGGCATGAACAGTCTCTGGCCTCTGTCTGAGGAAGAAGCTCCCTTTTGGGGACTGAGAATCCCAATACAATAAAGTGAGGCCAAAATGGCAGAAGACCAAGAGGTCACAGTGGTTCTAAGCCTAGCTTCAAGGTCAGTTTGGTGGGCTCCCAGACTAAACAGACCTAATAACTTGGCCAGAAATCTTCTACATGACCTAGAATTAAAGACAGATTTTTTTTTAAGTATTTAAATTGTAAACAGATGGCAATATGACTTGGATGTACAGCTCTGGGGAACTACAACACTTGAATAGTGATTAATTAGTGCCTTAGGGAAGGGGTCAACTCTGTTTGTCCCAGAGCAGCCCCAAGGTCCTCTCGACCATGGAGCTGCTGATTTGCTAGAGTGGGAATCTGAATAGGCCAGGGAATGAGAACAGGCTTCATGTGGCCTACAGGCTCTCTGAAATTGCAGGTCCTGGTGTGTGAGGGAACATACACATTTCTGGAAAGGAGGTCTATGACTTATAAACACTGAACTGTTGCAGAGGATGGGAACTCCACGGTGAGAATCCATCCAGGGCACACCTGGACCAGGGCCCTGGAGAGGCAAAGACTAGAAAAGGGTCAGGCTGTCAGTCCCATCCTACAAAGGAAATGAAGACCAGCCTGGAGAAGGAGCTCCTTGGGGTAAGAAACTGAGACCCAAAGAGGAATGCTAGAGGACTGTTTAGGGAAAAGGGAAGGTAGGCCTGGACAGTGATAGAAGCTACTTTGAGACCCTTCTGGAGAGGGCTGATCCTCAGGTTCCAGGATACCCCCAATGGCCGGACCACAAGGCTTCCTTGCCAGGCAGGAAGGGATACACACATTTCCTCATTACAGAGGCACTCCTGAGAGAGTTGGGAGGTCACCAGTCTCCCTCACCACAGTAGGACTTATTTTGTCTTGAGTTCTTATTTTATAACTTACATGAAACCACCCACACTTTAATAGATAGGAAGGAAGAGGCCAATTGAAGCAGAGATGGTTTAGAAAGCCAGGGAAAATAAAATGAATTGGTGGAATATTCCTAGAGAGACATGTCATCAAAAGGATTTCATTTACCTGTGTGTCCTGCCTTCTCCTCTCCACCACACATGAGATCATCAGTGGGTTTCCAAGGTTAATCAAGAAAAGAAATTCAAGGTGGAAACCCAAGAAGGCAGGAGTCCTATGCCTTTTTTTGGATTTCTGGGAATCCTCTTGCTTGCCTCTCAGGCACACACACACACACACACCTGCACAGGCAGCGCCTTGCTAAAGCAGACTGCAACCCAGGGAGATCTGCAGAGGCAGGATCAGTGTCTGCTGTGTATTCACCATGGGCACGTGGAGAACACACACAGGAGTGCTAACATGTAAGAGGTCTGATCCCAGGTGGGCTTTTCAGACCCACTTCTACCTCCCTCCAATGGGCCTTCATAACAGCACCTCACTCCAATAAGTCTCCATGACCCACCTCCAGTGAGCCTCCATGATTCCACCTCCCTCTGTGGGCCTCCATGACCCACCTCCCTCCAATGAGCTTCCAATACCCACCTCACTGCAATGGACCTCCATAACCCACATGACTCCAATGGGGCTCTGCAACCCACCTCACTGCAAAGGGCCTTCATGACCCACCTTACTGTAAGAGGCATCCATGACCCCAGCTCACTACAATGGTTCTCCATGTCCCGCCTCCCTCCAATGGGCTTCTGTGACTCCACCTCCCTCCAATGGGCCTCCATGACCCATCTCACTGCAATCAGCCTCATGGCCTGCTGAGGAGCTGGAATGAAGAAAGGATAGTCAGGCATATGCTGAGCATTGGTAGCTTTTCTCTCAGCATGTGCTGTGACCCACCTTTGCGCTGGTCATCGATATTATCCCCGTAGTTGACTCGCCCACAATTCTCCACCAAGATCCTCAGTATGGTGTAACCCTGCCAGGAACACAGTGGTCGATGATGACCACCTGATGACCCAGGCATAAGGTCACAAGTGCACCTCAGGGTTTCTCTATGGAACCCCAGTTCTTCCCTAAGCGCTGTGAGGGAAAGCATCCTTGCTGATCAGAAAGCAATGTTCTGCCTCACTCGCCACATACAGCTCTGGTTAAGGAGCCTCCTGTCTTCCAGGTCTTCCTAACCTTGACTCCCACCAAACCTATTCAGGAAGTAGCTGGCTCTAGCCACCACCCAGCTCCCCAAGAAACAAACCTGGATCAAGGGGATAGAGATCTTCCTCCTTTTATAGTCCAAGAATCCTACAGATACTGTGTTCACAAATACCTGCCAGATAAACAGAAAGCATCCATGGGTTGACAGGAGGGAGGCGTAAGAGGGATCTCTGCTAAAGCAAAGAAAGGGGTCGCACTTGTGTGTGTGTGTGCTGAGGAGGGGGGTTAGGTGGGCATAGAGGAGAAATGAGTGCCCATGATTATAGCTGAAAAAGACTGCATAGCTGATGGCAAATGACCATCTGTGCACACCCATAACAACTGTATATGTGAGCATGAAGAGGCAGGAGAGGCAGGGGTATATTGTAGGGCTTGATCACTACATGTCATAGGAATTAAGAGGAGATACTCCTACCTGTCCCCGGTCACGCACAAGGCCACTGAGGACACCAGATGAGTCAATGGTGGTCTCATACAGAATGTACCCAAAGGACTGGCCGTTTCCATTGTTTATTGGCAGGTTCTCCATATTGACAGGCTTTTCAGAATTGACTGGCTGTATATAGAAAAGACAGACAGGACAGGGCTAGGCAGAGGAGAAAAAAGGCAGAAACCTCATGTTGAGACTTCTGGGGGAGAGCTGGGTAGTATTTAGACCCCACCTGGGGGCTAGCTTACTGGGAGGCAGAGGCGGGGCAGGGGCTGCTAACATTTTTTTTCTGTCTTGACGTCTCATGGCTGTCCAGGGTCACAGGGATGGGGGATGCGAAAGAGGGAGATGAAGCCCTGCAATCTAGTGGCCTCTCAGCCTTTTAATCCATCATCATTTTAGATCACAGCATCCCTCTGTATCAGCTACAAGAGGTGCTCCCTCTTCTCAGAGGAGGTGGAGCCCATTCTCCGGCCTTCTCACCCTCCTCTCTGCCCACTGAGGCTGCAGAAAGGGAATCCCCATTGTGTTACCCAGTTTCTCTTCAAGTTCGTTTTGTTCCTTCCCACTTCCTACTCTAGCATGAGTTTGCTCTCTTTACTCTGAGTTCTACAGTTGGAGAGTGGACCTCAAGGTTATCAAGCATTGGCTTTCTCATCCTCCATGACAGCTGTTGGGAGGGCTTCCTGGCATTGCTCCCCTGACGGCAGCGCTTACCTCCTCCATGTACTGGAGCGCATCCCATAGTGACAGGTATAAAGTTGGCCTCACTGGCTCATACACAGTCTTGGGAAGAAGGCCAGGTGGGGGAGGAAGAGGACCACCTGCAACACAGACGACAGAGCCATCCCAAAAGGACCAAACAGTCACTCCTCAAGCCCCTCAACCACTCGCTACTATCCACGACCCAATGTGCTCCTTAATCCTAGAGTCAACAAGGAAACAGGCCCATCCTCACACATGCCTAGACCCCACTGAGAAGGTGATACCAGTGGGGAGGACAGGGAGCCTTCTCACATCCCCAGGAGTATGAACATCTATAGAAAGGCAAACTTGGCAAGACACAAACCATGATGAAAAGTCTCTCAAAATGGCCTATCTTTCTCTTAGGGCGTTCTTGTACACAAATCAACTAGGGGTAATGTGGGGTACTGAGGAAATAACTCCTTAGTGGGTCTCAGATCAAAAGCAAGGGCCCAAGTTGGTGCTTGAGTCTGCTGTTTGTCACGTACCTGAGATGGAGCCAAAGAATTCCCGGAGTTTGTTGTATTTGTCTGTGTAATCCCCGGCCTCTGTCAGAACCGCGTCATAGTCTGCAAAACACCAGGGCACTGTCACTGGCCACTCATGTGCCGGAACAGTGTCTGTGGCAGCAAAAGGAAAAGGGGAAAGCTGGGGTCAGGCAGCACGGTCTTCACTCCAGCAATTTGGGAAGCAAAACACTTTTGGTGTGGGCTGTCAGTCAAGATAATATAAATACTAGATACTTGAAAATGTCACTAAAACTGCCCATGACCACAGCATGACCCTAAATTTCCAGGCATCTTTCCTGCCTTCTGGAGACTCTCAATCTAAAGGGGGGCAGGGGCCACACCATCTCAAGGGCCTAAGTAGGGAGAGGAGGCTGCCCTCATCTAAGGACTTCCCTCACCTGCTAGTGCCTCTCTCACTTCCTCCAGCTGACTTCCAAAGGCTCGCAGGCATGTCAGCTGGCTTCAGGCTCTGACTGCTCTAGAAGTTTAAAAGTGACAATCCAAACCAAACCTCCACCTTCCGCAGGCACTTCAGAGCCAAATACATTAAAGGTCCCAGAGCTATCCCTAAAGGACTCTTCATAAAAAGTCTAGACACGGAAATATTGGAGGGCTCCAGGGAGGGTCAGTATTGGGGAATACTTGCCATAGCTGGTGACATCAGACTTATATTCATGAAAATGCATGGCCCCATTTATGAAGCCAAAGTTGGTGCCTCCATGGAACATGTAGAGGTTGATGGAAGAGCCAGCATCGATGATGGCAGACACTGTTTGTAAAACCTCTACAGGAGTTGGGGAGGAAGAGGAATGTGCAGAGCGAGTTAGAGTTTGAGACAAGCCGTAAGTCCCTTTGGCACTCTCACCTTTCCCAATCCCTCCTCCAATTCAACTCTGTGGCTCTGTCCTTCAGCTTTTGCTGAAAACCCAGTCACAGGGGGACAAAAAGAAATGGCCAGAATCACGGCCCCAGAGCTTGGGCTGTCCAACTGTTTCCTAAGTCATAGTCAAGCCTCCACTGACTACTATTTGGACTACCTGCAGCCCAGCACAGCCTTCTCTCTCTACCCGGCATGCTTCTCATCTGTTACCCCAACTTAACAGGACACAAAGTGATAGGATTCATAATTAGAGATACGGTACTGACCACCTCCCCCTCCCACATTTATTAGAGAATGAACCAATGACTTGAAAAGACAGCATCAAAAGTGTTATATATATATATATATATATATATATATATATATATATATAATTACATACATACACACACGCACATGAGTGTGTATAGCAGATTGGCAAATACACGCACACGAGTGTGTGTAGATTGGCAAATATTAAAAATTATTTTAATACTCAGTATTGATGAATCTGTGGGAAATGGGTATTCTCATTTAATAATGGAGAGTTCAGAATTGCTACAATCTTACTGGAAAGCAGTTTAGTAAGTATATATCAAAAATTGCATTCATAGCAATCCATATTGCTAGGAATTTATCATAGGGAATAAATATACCAAGTCTGCAAAACTGGATGTTCAAGAATGCTCACTAAAATGGTGTTCAATTAACAAAAACCACCGGAAACAACCTAAGTGTTTATCAATAAGAGACTGGGTAAATAAACTGTGATTTAATCACCAATACACTGGGCTTGTTTTCATTCTTTAAAACAGTGATGGAATCTCTATCTAATAGCAGAGAAAGCTGTCCAATTGTGTCATTCACTGACACAAGCAGGTAACAAAGAATGCAGATATGACAGCATTTGTCCACATCTCTATCTGTAGGTGCACAGAGAGCTGCAGACAGAGATACGATGCAGACAACTGCCTGGACAATGAACATCACAATGTTTTCTTTGGGCTCTAGGATTTTTATTTCTTCTTTATACATTTTCTGTATTTGCTAAATGTTTGCAGTAGGCATACATTACTTATCTAATTACAAAAGCAATGTTGAAAGTCCTACCGTTCATTTCAAATATCAAGACAAATGATTCTGGAATATCAAGAGCTGACTAGTACACACAAATAGCCCCAGAAGCCTTGCCCTGCAACAGCTCATTTACATCAGTTAGCAGGTTATCTGGAGCTTATGCCTACTTCTTAGATCAACACCCATGCCGGACGTAGGCACTGCAAAGCACTCACCAGAAGAATCCAGGATGTTGTGTGGGCCTCCCCAGGAGTCAAACCACCCCGTCCAGTACTCCATCACCATCTTGGGTTGAACCCTCTAGGCACCACAAAATGAGAAGTTAGCTGGTCAAAAGAGACAGACAGAGGGAACCCTTCCTGTAGGGGAACGCCAACCCCTCTGTCCTGCCAACTCTCTCGTGGCTACTCACCCCTAGACTTAGAGGCCACTGAGAGCAGAGCACAGATAAGGACAAATGCACCTGCACCAGCTTGGCCTCGACATGTGGCCTCCACACTACAGGTGGGAAGTTGAAAGAGCTCCCAAACGTGATGCAGTAGCCCCTGCTGCCTAATGTGGTTTTAATGTTGCATACAGTGCTGGCGAGAAAGCACGGGGCTCTGTTCAAAGTCAGTCTTCATTAGAATTCAGCATCATCTGCTTTGGGAGTCTTTACATTGATTTGCTTTCTGGATCAGGCCAAGCTTTGTCTGTCCTCTCCCAGGGAAGCAGAATGGTCCATCAGGATAGCCATACTGTGGACGCAGACCCCTCCGTTGCTGCTTCCTTTTAGCTGGTAGAGTCAGAGGGCTGCAGAGTGAGCCCCTCTTCAAGGTCCAGCTTAGTTTCAACAGAAGTTTCCAAAACTGGACCAGGAGAACAGGGCGTTATAGGGAGCAGAGCCAGGGCCTGTACTGTTTGACCATTCAAAGGAGACTTTGATCTAAACAAGGAAGCATCCATGTCACCTTCCTTGAGGAAAACGGACATCACTGAAGCGTGGACAGCAAGGCCTGTAGCAGTGCCATTCTGTCAATAGGATGACCAGCCTGGGGCACACAGGTGTGGCCACTTCTCCCAGGATGACTGTCTAGGAGCCAACATGAAGCACTGCTGTCCTGCGTGCTTTCCAAACAGTACCTCATGTGACCCTCAAACAGCGCTATGAGTAGGTACTATCAATACTGCCACTTCACAAAAGAGGAAAAAGCAGCACAGAGAGGGCACACAGGAGGGGGCCGGGGGGCAGCTCACAGCTTCCTGTACTACTCCTGGACAGCACTCAAGTACAATCCTGTTGAGTTACTGAGTCACTGGGCAATTGTTTATTTAACACGTCTCTCCCCAAGCAGGTTACAGCTCCATGAAAGCAGACGTCCTGTTGTCTTAGTCGCTGCAGGGTAACGGGGCCCGGGCCACTCCAGGCACAGGGCGGGCACTCAGGGAATAGTGGAGGAAGGAAGGAAAGGAAAAAGGGGCAGGACCTGGGTGCACCTGCATCCGTTGTCCCTCGCCTGATCTGCCTAACCAAGCCTGCCGGGGGTCAGGTCCCAATTGTCCCCTCTCTTCCTGGGCACCTTCCCTACCCAGTCTGCTTGTCCCTCTAAATTCCTGTAGTAGCCGCATCATACACACAGATGGCCCTCATCCTCTACCCTGCTGTGGTGATTTCATATGGCTGTGCCTTAGGTCTATTCCAAAAAACAAACAGCTGGGACACAGGACAATCCCAGCATCTCCATAGGCATCTATGCATGGCGGGGACACAAACACGCAGCAGCTCCACTCTGGGCCAAGGGATCATGTGTATGTCCAATGTTGGTGGCTCTCTGGGGCAGTCACACCCTTTAGTAACATGGGGTGAGAGATGAGGCCTCTCAGTTCAGTGAACGGGCCATCGCTGCCTTGGCTACATTATTTCTATCCTCTCAGGAGAGGCACACAAACTCAAGTGAAATCAAGCAGAGTAGGATGTAACAGTAAATTCCCATCCAGCTGATGGGCGTTGAGATAAATCCAGAAACTCCTCATTCCTTCCGACAATGGACCAGGCTTCCTGTCTTGCTGGTGACAATAATATTTCTGGCCCAGAGAGGCCTTACAGGTTAAGGTCAGATGCATATAGTCCAGGACAGGGAAGTGTTTCTCCCCCCACTCCCTAGGGCCCAAACTGAGCAATCTGGGGCTAATTGAATCCACAAAATTCTACTGAAGAGGCCTCTGTGAGCACACCAAGTCTAGAGCCTCAGAAATGACCCCCCTTCCCAAGAGGTGGAAACCACATTCATACATCGGCCCACACAGCAACACCTCAGAGCGATTTTCAGCTTCCCTTACCAGGGGCCGGCATCATGGCGCACAGGGTTGGGATCTGCGGTGCAAAATGAGGGCTGTGACTGGAAAGGCTGACAGAGCCCAGAACCCCTCTCCCCACGTGGGAAGCCGTGAGCACAGCGGCAGCCACTCCAAAGAACCAAAGACTTTCTGACAAAAAAGCTCAGCTTAACTCTAGGAATTTCAACACTCACGCTGAGAAGGGCAGGCAGCTTTCCCTGGGCCAGACTCACCTGGACACTGGAGAGAAAGGTGGTTAATAACTGTAGCTCGTGTTGCGACTGTAAGTTTATGGTAGCCAGCACTGGGAATGGAAAGGAGAAAAGAGAAACAAAGCATCGTCTGAAAGCCAGGAAGACTTTCCGAATTACCCCAGACCTTTCTCAATTCACCAGCAAAATACATTAATCTTGACATTATTCCCCACCTCCAATTAGAGGTTAGTACCTCTGATATCAGATTTATCTTGTTCATCTTGGCAATTCCACCATTCAGTACAGGCCTTACAGAGTGGTCACTCACTAAGCATCTGGTCTTGATTAATGTAATTTTTACAACCAGAGTGTACATTTCTGTTCATTATTTTTTTGTAGGGACCTGGAGTCTGGTCTTTACTTGGCACTGCAAGCCATCTAGTACAAGGTAATGAACTAAATGTAGATTCCCCTGTTACTTCTTAGATAAGGGCTAATTTTCTATTATACCCCATAATGTGTTCATTTTTTAATTTAAATTGTATTTTAAATGGCTGTCCATCAGTGAAAGGCATGCCCGAAAAAGATGTGCTACGTGTGGCCTATCGCCATGGATCCCGGGCCCACCCCAGCTGCAGAATTTGGTTCTGAGGTCCTTCACAGCTGCTGTCTGCTGGGCAGTGGGCTTCACGTGCACCCGCTATGGCCTGAGCTCCAATAGGCCTGGAAGGGCACAATAGAGATGGAGCCAGCCTGGCCAGCTGGCCATCCTAATGCTCTCCTGTTGAACAGGAGCCCCTGGTTAGCAGTGATTAAAAACAAACAAGAGCTGAGGCCCCTGGGGCTAAATAACACCCCTCAAGGTCACACAACAGGTGTGCAGCAGAGTAGCACAACTCCAGGCCTATCTGACACAGGCCCATTGTTCTGTGATGTCACTGTCACTGAAGCCCTGGGGTAAGACCCTACATCCAGACCCCTCCTCACCTTAAGTGAAAACTCCTTGAAGGCAGGAGGCCTGTCTGAAACTGAGCAGGCAGAACTCTCAGACATCAACAGGATTAGCGTGGCTAACTGAACATAGCATCTATTCTTATCCTTTCTGACACTACACTGAAATAAAATTAAAGTAATGAAAAGGTGGAAGCTCTCAAGAAATAAGAACTGGAAAGGAGACATAGCAGAGATGGTGTCAAGAAAACCTTGGGAGATAGAAAATGGGGGGTGGGTTGGTAAATGGCCTAGGAAAGTGGAAGAAGTTATGACCAACTCCCCAGCTCGTGTCCAAGGCACTGTGCGGGGGAGGACACCTGTCCCCTGCCTCATGCATTCCTCAGGCCTCTTTCCCCACTGGTGGCCATCCTCTCAGGGGACCATACTCTCTGGGAAAGCTGAGGCCTCCAGGTTTGGAGGGATCGGGCAGAGCAGAGTGTGGGTGAGAGACTAGAAGGGGGAATAAGGACAATCTGAACAAGGGGGACCCTGCCCATCCCTCCCAGAATATCTGTAGCAATAGACCAAAGGTTTCTTCTCTGGAAACATTTAACAAATCTAAACGCAATACCTCCACATACTGACGTTTGGGTTTCTCTCATGGAAACAGCCACCACAGCCCAGTCACCCCACAGAGCAGCACACCTGTCACCAGCCTCTCCTAGCACTCAGTTCCCAAGTGGCCAGTTAGTGCCTCCTCCTTACACTGCTCAGTCAAGAGTCAGGCAATTGAGTAAATCTCCTCACCTGGAAGACTGAACAGACTAGATAAATGTTAAAAAAAAAAGTTAAAATATCTTCGGAGAGAGAGAAGATACTATCCATTTTAAAAGTACACTATGCAAAAGAGAAATATACTCAAGAAAAACAGGATCCAAGAAATAACGGAAGGACTGGAAAATAAAAGTTGAGGAAGTCACCTAGAAGGTAGATCTAAGGGCAAAGAGATTAAAAAAAAATCGAACAGATAAGTGACTTAGAGTCACTATGAGAGTCCAATCTACAAATAACAGGAATGAACAAAGATCAGAAAAAAGAGGGAAAAGCATATCAAAGAAACGCAACAACTGAATGTCCCACCATTGATGACCATAACTGTTCCAATTCAAATGCCCCCCGGAAGCGCCACAGAAAGCAGAAAGTTTCATGCCAAAGAACAGCACTGTGAAATGCCAGAATATCAAGGATAAAAGGAAAATTCTAAAATTTTCTAAAAATAGATAAAAAATAGAACCTACAAAAGGATGAGGAACAAGAGTGTCCTTGCATTTCAGCAGCAATAGTGGATGCTAGAAAGGAAAAAATCAATGCCTTCCAAGTTCCAGGAAACGGGTTCAACAGCAGAATCAGAGGCCAGCCTCAGGTTCCCTATGCAGAGGCCGCCAACAGTGAGATCAGACTTGATATAGTGTGATACATACAGGCATATGAAAAACACCAGTGATAGGAGTATGGGATATCTTTGGTCTAAAAGAGGAAGGGGGAAAGGTGGAGAGAAAAGAGAATTGAAAAGAAAAACAAACCGGATAATTACATTGAAAGTGAGTCAATTCACAAACACTGTGCAGACGACTGGACACACTGTGAAGCCTGCCTGAGGAAATCACCGGTCAGTCACACACACAGCTGACTACAGATGTCAATCCAACGGGGAAAGGGGCGTGGCTACGCCTCCCGGAAAGCCCTGGGTAGGCGAGGTGGCAGGGAACCGATCAACCAGAATGAGGAATCAGTAGGCAGACTTTTAAATCAATAAATACAGAATTCTATATGTGTATTATTTGGAATTATGAAGGAAAATGTCAGACAAAAAGTTGGAGTTCAAAATGTCATTTCTGGGTGGGAGGAGGGAGGCTGCACAGTATTTCTTAATAAGCATTTCTATGATTTTACTTTTACACTTTGTGAATGTGTTACTTTAATTACATTTTTAATTAATTGAAAATAAGTCATTCCAGGGAGGTGGAGGGAGTATTCACACGAGGCCTTCCCCTGCACAATGCTGGCGTGCTGAAAATCTGCACCAGCCTCCCTACCAGCGCTGGCCACAGCTCACCACCACCGCCCACTCCAAGCCCCTGACCAGATCGCTGAGAGCTGAAAGACTTGGAAGAAGCCACGGGAGGACAGCGCCACCGCGTGGAAATGACAGGAATGGCTGCTGGTCCTCATCAGAAGATTTAGGGTACAGGTGCTTGAAGAACCACTCACTCATCCTGCCTTGGGTCCAGAGCCTTCTCCCCGCCATTCATCCAACACTCACTCCCTGAGTGCTATCTCCACACCAGGCGCTAGCCTAGGGCTACAGAGATGCGAGTCCCTCTCTTCAAGTGTTCAAGCCAGTGGAGGGCTATGCAGAAGGAACAATAAAGTGCTAAGTTTAAAGTGCAGAGGCCAGTGTGGTTGTTGGAGCCCTCAGGAATAGCTGGTAGTGGACGGGAGGGCCCTTCAACCACTGGCCATTCTTTCAGTGCACAAACAGAGCCCAGGCACAGGAGGATGGCCAAACAAGATAGAACCCAGGCCTGGTGGAGCTTATTGCTGCCGTGAGACAGGTACATCAAACAAAAAAACTACCCAGAATTGTTAGAAGACAATAATAAAGCTCTGGGACAGAGCTCTGGGAAAAGTTGCAATTCCAAATGGGTGCTCAAAGGAAGCCTTACTTTGAGATGACCTCAGAGAAAACTGGGGAGGAAATGGAACAGCTGCACCTCGCAGGCATGGCAGAAGGCTGGGGGTGTCCAGCATGTATGAGGAACAGCAAAGCCAGGAAGGTGGAGCAGGGTGCGCCAGGGGAAAGCAAGAAACAGCTGGCCAGGTCACAGAGGCCGTGTGGGAAGCCCTTCCAGGTCACTCTTAGAACTTGCACTTCACTCTGCTTGAGACAGGGCGCACCTGAAGTTCAGTTTGCAGGGAAAGATGATCCAAATGACATTTTCTTTTTTTTTTAAGATTTTATTGGGGAATTAGGGAAGGGGAACAGCACTGGGGAATCGGGGAAGGGGAACAGACAAGTTGCTGTCCTTTTGTTCTTCAGTCTAGTTGTGGAGGACGTCACTTCAGTGGCCCATGTTGGTATTATTATTGTGCTCTTCCCTGCTGAGGCAGATGGGTTGCGGGCCATTCGACAGCCACTCACAGTGGCACACGGCAGCTCACAAAAGCTCACGCCCGCTGCCGGCCAGCCCCACTGCAGCTTACGCTGTCACTGGCGACTCACGGCAGCCCAGCCCCAGGTCAAGCTGTTCTTCACCATCTTAGCTGTAGAGGGCACAGCATCACTGGCCCATGTGGGATCTGAACTGGGGCCCTGCTGCTCAGAGCTCGCGTCCCAAGCCTACTCCTAACCAACGCACCACTCGGTCAGTCCCCAAATGACATTTTCAATAGCTGCTATGTTGAGAAAAAGTTGTGAGCGAGTCAACAGTGAAAAAAAAGGGAGATGAGTTCCAATGCTGTTGCAATAATGCAAACAAGAAACTATGGTAACAATTGAGGTGGTAGAACTTATTTGGATTCTGGATAAATTTTGAGGATAAAGATAAAAAGGATTTGCTGGGCGGCCAGTTAGCTCAAGTGGTTAGAGCACAGGCTCATAACACCAAGGTTGCAGTTCGATTCCCACATGGGCCATGGAGCTGCACCCTCCACAACTAGACTGAAACAACCACTCGACTTGGAGTCAAGACGTCTGATTAGCTCAGGTGGTTAGAGTGCAGGCTCATAACACCAAGGTGGCCGGTTCAATTCCCACATGGGCCAAGGAGCTGCACCCTCCACAACTAGATTGAAGACAACTTCTTAACTTGGAGCTGATGAGTCCTGGAAAAACGGTCTCCATAACTAGAACGAAGTAACTACTTGACTTGGAGCTGATGGGTCCTGGAAGGACACACTGTTCCCCAATAAAATTTCTTTTAAAAAAAAAAAGGATTTGCTTATGGCTGAGTGTCAGGCACATGGAAAAAGAAGAGTTGAAAGTGACTACAAGATTTATGAGGTGTGATCAAATAATACATGAATGCTTAAATTTAAAAAAAATTATTACAGTAAAAAACACATAGCCATTAACCCCCTCAAAATACTCCCCCTTGCTTTGAACACACTTATCCCATCATTCTTGCCACTTTCTGAAGCAATTCTGGAAGCCCACTTTTGTGAATGTCTTTAGTTGCACTGTGATGGTTGTCTTGATGTCCTAAATCAATTCAAAATGTTTACCTTTTATGATCATTTTGACTTTGAGGAAGAGCCAGAAGTCACACAGTGCCCAATCTGGTGAACAAGGTGCCTGAGGACACACCATAATTTTTTTATTTGACAGAAATTGACGTACCAGAAGTGATGTATGACACAGAGCATTGTCATGACGGAGGATGAAGTAACAACATTCACAAAAGAGAGCTTCCAGAACTGGTTTAGAAAGTAGCAAGAATGATGGGACAAGTGTATTCCTAGCGAGGGGGGTATTTTGAGGGGGATTAATGGCAATGTGCCTTTTACTGTAATAAACTTTTTCTATGTAAACGTTCACCATGTTTTTTTATCAGACCTCGTAGGGCCTGTGCAACTGGGGGAAGATGGAGTTCCAATTTACTGAGAAAAAGGGGACTGAACGTGGGCAGGTTCTAAGAGGGAAACAGACCAGCTCAGTTCCCTGGTGGTTCCAGTGAAACTGGTGGCTTCCCTATGGGCCTGTCCAGAAGGCAGGAGTAAGGCAAGAGGAGTTCAGGAAAGGTCCCTGATGGAAACAGACATCTCGGACTCATCAACACATAGATCCTATTTGAAACCATCTAGATGACATCACCAGATCAGATGGAGAATTCATTTCAAGGAGTAAGCCATAAAGAATTGAACATTAGAGCTCAGGGAGAGAGAAGCGACCAGCACAAAACACCAAGAAGGAGCTGCCCGTGAAGTCAGATTAAAACAGGGAAAAGTTATCCCAGATGTCAAGTGAGGAAAAAGTTTCAAGGAAGAAAATTGCTGGTTGCTAACAAATAAAATCAGACAGGTCAGAGGTGATAAGGACTTAACAGTTTAAATTTATAACATGGAGGTCGCTGGAACCTTGAAAAGAGCAATGTCAGTGGAATAGTGAGGGTGGTAATGTGATCACCACAGTTTAAGAGCGATCAAAAGGAAAGGGTCAGAGCAGCAGCGAGTATGCACGTGGGGAAATTTGTTGAAAGGGGAGCAGAGAAACAGAACAGCCTCAGGGGAATGAGTTAAGGGATTTCTTTTTAGAAGAGAGACATAACATGTTTGTAAGCTGGTGGGAATGATCGAAGAGAGAAAATTTGATGATACAGGTCTGAAGAGAGACTTGCTGAGCCAGCTCTTCAGTAGGTGACAAGGGCTCAGTGCACACGTGTGGAGCTGGGCCAGTGCATTTACAGTTACAGGGAGAGGCAGAAGAGGGGTACGATGCTGGTGGACAGAAAGCTGCCGTGGTCATCTACTGTACACTCCCTGCCTAGCCCACTCTCTGTCACTGCCGGAGCTATACAAACCCCAGGAAGGGTCAGTCACCTCTACAATTTTGGTAGAACTGGAGTAAGCCATCCTCGCAGTACGCCCAATGTTTCATCTTCTGGGCCCCATTTGGAGACATTCAGAGATCTCAGATGCCCAACTCACATTCCCTGTGTCTTGCAGTCTGCAGAGCACTGCTAGCGTGAGTGTGCAGCAGAAATGAGAGACCAGCTACAGAGCTGGCTACAACAAGCCTGTTTCTGACATGGAGGCTCCAACCTTCTGAGGCCCAGTGCTATGCAAAAGGGAGGACAGGCAACTCCACTTGTGGCTCAGGATGTCAGGAAAAACATGCATTTCCAGGCCAGGACACTGACCCCACCTTCCCCACCCCCTGCCCACAGAGCCTCCATGCACATACCTCCATTGATGTCACCGCACCCCCCAAACGGCTTCTGTGCAGGTATCTCCATCGATGACCACCCCCCCAACACACATGTTCTCCATGCAAGTACCTCCAGCAACACCCCTCACCCAGCCCCTCACAGCCTCCATACAGGTACCTCCAGCAACAGCCCTGCCCCCCAACCTCTTGAGACCTCCATCTAGGTACCTCCATTCATAACCCTCCCTCCCACACCATCCGTGCAGGTACCTCCATGGATGACCCCCTTGCTCAGGCCATCCTTGTTGTCTGAGGTCAAGAGCAGCTCCACAATCCCTCGGTCTTCCAAGGCCTGTGGGGGAAAATGAGAGTAATCAGTCTGTCGTTCCTCAGAGCGCCTGCTGGGTCACACATCTGGGAATGAGGCTGCCAGAAGAGAAAGAGGGAGAGATTCAAATAAAGCATTTATTTCTCTACAGGAAACAGAGAAGCCCATCCTGTCTGTGCGTGGCATGTTCAACAAAGCTCCCATCAGCTGGAAGTCCAGCCAAGGCAGGAGCAGGGCTGTCAGGCTCTGGCAGCCTTCGGCTGCTCCTGATCTGGCGAAGTGCCCAGTCTGGCTGCTGTGCTGTTCCTAGACAGGACTACTCAGAGGCCAACTCAGCAAGGCCAGCTGCCAAACTGTCACCTGGCAATAGACTGCAGGGATCTAAGAGTAGGTCAGGGCCTCTGGGACAGCCCACCCCTCCTCCTTCACCCTCACTAGAAACAAGCAGTCCATCCCTTCCCCACACCCAGCAGAATGGGCTCTGGTCACCAGCGATGTCACAGTCACGTGCCCACAGTGCACTGCACATGCCCAGTAGAACAGGAAGTACTCCTTCAAGGTTGTATTGGGTTGTCGGAAAAGTCATGATGCATTTTTGCAATGAAAAACATACAAAAAATACGTCATCATTTTTCCAACAACCCAATAAATCAAATGATGAAGTGGAGAAAACACACACTGTGCTGAGAGGCAATAACCATTTTCCTACCCAGAATGACTGCTAACACTGTGGTGCATTTACAATCATCTAGGCCTTCTGCTAAGCACTTTACATTGACCGTCCTATTCAGTTTCACAATCAGCATCTGAATGGTACAGACGCAGAGCCTCAGAGAGGTTGGGTCAAGTGTTAATGGGTACAAAGCTGATGAGCACAAACCTGACCCCAGAGCCTGTTGATCTTCAAAGGCTCTGCTCTGGGGCTGTGGGCAATTTGAGGTCAAAAACACCGGCAAGGGGCATTTGCCCATCACTCCCCTGCAGATATTATGACAACACTGTTGATTTCAACCCAATTCTTTGGAAATTAGAGGAGGCAGAGGGATGGATAACACAGTATGGATGAATAAAGCTCATGTCTGATCCCAGATGCTGGTAAGGAAGGAAGAGAGGGGCTCTAATTCTCAGAACAAAAGAAGCTATAGGAATTTAACCCATTAGGCAAGGTGAATTTTTATCAAAGACCTGTACCCACCACCTCACAGCTCTCCAACCAATCATTCACTGATATTTAACTAACTTTCCTTAGGTTCCCACCATGTGTATACAGCATCATGGAGGCTGGGAGGCTGTAAACATGGACAATAACCATCTTTTATAGCGGTACCATTCACATGTGACCTTTCACAGGCACTGAATGACTGGCTACACACTGTAAGGGATGATTACTGCTTCCTGAGCACTAGCCATCTGCCAAGCACAGTTTGTGGCCTCATGCATATTATCCCACTGTGTTTCCACAGCAGCCTTAGAGAAAGGCATTCTTGTCTTCACTGTGCACACAATGAAGTAAGGCTCAGAAAGGTAAGTGACTTGCCCAAGGTCATCATCTATGCTGATGGTATCCACATGTCCACACCACCCCAGGAAAAGTTGCATGGCAGCTCAGGAGAGGATCCTCCCAATAGCTCTAGGATGACAGAGGCTGTGCTCTGCTGCCTCTCTCTGCCCACCTGTCTTACACATGGATGCCTTTCCCGGACACCAGGGAAGTGGGACTGAGCAGGAGAGGTCCTGAAGGACCTCCTCTCCTCCCCTCAATGGAGCTCTCCTCCTCTGTAGCTCAGTAAATCAGTAAACACAGGCTAGAGAAGCCCCAGCACCCAGAGATAGGCAGAGGGAGTGAAGCACTCCTGTCCTGCACCCCAGCTGGGATCTTCCTAGCCAAATCAAAGACAAAGAGGAAGGTGGCTATGGCTGGACTTGACCATCAGGACTAAACTCTCCTCTTTCCAGCTTTAGGAATGTCACTCTTCCTAAAGATGGCCTTGCTCCCTAAGTCAAGGGCTTTTTGCATGGGCAAAAGGGTAGGGAAGAGTGGATAAGAAGCCACAAGCTGAAACTAAAAAAAAAAAAAAAAGCAATCATAGAAAACAGATTATCCATAGAGAAACAAAAATTAGAATGACAGCTGACTTTTTAGCATCAAAAATAAATGCTAGAGGGCTGGCTGAGTGGCACGTTGGTTAAGAGCTGGCTTGGGACGCCAGCTGAGCAGTAGGGTGCCCAGTTCGGATCCCACATGAGGGCAAGTGACGCTGCACCCTCTACAGCTAAGATGGTGAACAACAGCTCAACCTGGAGCTGGGCTGCTGTGAGTCGCCAGCGATGGCGTAGGCTGCAGTGAAGCTGCAGTGGGCTGCCATAAGCTACCATGAGTGGCTAGCAGCGGGCGTGAGCGGCTGGCTGCCAGCATGAGCTGCCAAAAGCTGCTGTGAGTGGCCATCCAATGGCCGGCGAGTGACTGCCTCACCAGGAAAGGGCGCAATGATAATACCAACATAGGCCAGTGAAGTGCCGTCCTCCACATCTAGACTAAAGAACAAAACGACAGCAACGTGTCTGCTCCCCTTCCCCCAATTCCCCAGCGCTGTTCCCCTCCCCCAATTCCCCAATAAAATCTTTAAAATAAATAAATAAATAAATGCTAGAAAGACTAGAATAATGTCTTCAATGTGCTGAAAGAAAACTTTCAACACAGAATTGTAGCTCAAGGAAAATATCTTTCAAGATTGAGAAGTATATAAAGACACCCAGAAAAGCAAAAGTGTAGAGTTTGGCCATAAAAACTCTCAGTAAAGAAATTTGGGGCCGGTCGAGTAGCTCAGTTGGTTAAGAGCTCGCTCAAGAGTGTGAGCTCTGAGCAACAGTGGTTCGATTCTCAGCCCGAGCTGAGCTGCCACTGAGCTGCCAACAAGTGGCAGGATGGCTCAGCTAAAAATAATAATAATAATAAATAAATAAATAAATAAATAAATAAATAAATAAATAAATAAAGAATAAAGAAAGAAATCTGAAGAATGTTCTTCAGGGTGAAGGAAAGTAATCCCAGATGGACTTCTGAGTTACAGGAAGGAAAGATTAGGAAAAAAGTAGTAAATTTGTGGATCAACCCAAGGATTCATTGGCTGTATAAAATACTAACTATATTTTTGTGGGGTTAAAAAGGAGAAATAAAATACAGGACAACAATAATATATATCTAAAAAGAAGAAGAAGCTACAAGCTGAAGTGCTCGAGCCTCAGTCTACCTCTCTGCAGGGACTAAAGTAATTTCCATATGGTAAATGAATCTGCCTGTGACAGCAGGAGAGATGCTGCCAAGGACATCAAGAGCCAAAGCCAAAGCAGCTTTAATTAGGTGAATTCACAGAGGCCACTTAACAGTTCCTCAACTCACACCATGGCTGACCATTCTAAGTACTCCAAAACCAATGCCAGTGATTCTATCAAAGTCTTACTCATTGACTGCTTACTGTGTGCCTAGAACAGTCCTGAGCCATGTGACCTCACATATAGGCACAATTCGGAGAGGCAAATACTCCTATTAGTCTCACTCCATAGAAGAGAAAATGGAGGTTTAGAAAAATATATTTGTTCAGGGTCTCAGCAACCAGAAACCAGAAACCAGATTTGAGTATTATCCTGTTCTTTTAAGTGTTCCTCTAGCCCTGCCCTTCCCTGATTTGCCATATATTAAATCAGTGGCTCTCCACCTCACCCACACATTGGAATCAGGAATCTGAACACTACCCCACAGATTCTTAAATTGGTACCATATATGGCCTGGGCACAGGGATTTTTTTTAATTCCCCAGATAATGCCAAGGTACAGCTGAAGCTGGGAATCATTGCTTTAAATGCTGGAATGAGAGCAGCTTCTCCAAGAAGACTTCTGTAATCATCACCACTCAGTTAAGTCAATTCCTTTATTCTCAGCCCCTGCAATACCATGTATGTAATTAAACTCAATCAATAATAAGTAAATAAGTGACAACCCTGATGAAATAAAAGTATGGAGAAAGGACTCACTAATTAATAAATGATACGGAGAAATGTGATATCAACATGAGAAAAGCACTAGACATGTGACACCACAGCCCATAATACATTGCAGAGAAAGGAATGTGAAAAAATGAACTGAGCTGACACTTACTTTCTTGATGTAAGGCATATAGGCAGGGTCTTTGTTATAAGAACCGTATTCATTCTCCACCTGCACAGCAATGATGGGTCCTCCGTGCTTGTACTAGGGAAAAGAGAAACAATCAGAAGCTGAGTTTGTAGTGGCAATTATATTGTCTAATTTCCCCACACTGATAACCAAATACTGGCAAAACATCCCATTTGAAAGCAAAAGTCTCAAAAAAGTTTGGTATATAATTGAGAGTGATGTCAGTAAGACACAGAGTAGGAAGTTCCAGGCCCGTGTTCCCCCAGGGAAACATCAAATAAACAACTACATAACTGACTAAAACAACTTGATACGAGTTCTGGAAGCCAGTCAAATGCTTAAGCAAACAAAGTAAGTGCTCAATCAAGAAAAAGACACATTCAAAATGGTAGGAAATTTCATGGTGTTCTGCTTGCCCTTGCCCCAGCATACCATGGCACAGTAAAAAAAAAAAAAAAAGTATCCCAAATTCCAGTTCCCTCCCTCAAGACAGAAGGCGCAAAATAGAATTTATTTGCAATGTTCTGGGCTATCTATGGGCTGCCCAGCAGACTAGTTTCGTCTCATCTGACTTAGAGCTCAGACAGGAAATGTTGGCAACGTTTGGACCCCCTCAGGTTCATGTGTTTCTTTAGAAACTGTTTCTAGAGATTTATTTTGTTCTTCTAAATGAGCCATATTCCCCTGATTCTTGTATGCTTTGTGCTTTTTTTGTTGAAAATTGGGCATTTAAAAAAACAGTCACCTTTCCCAGTCTTTGCAGATTGAGGGGAATGCTATCACTATTTAGTGGGCTCCTGAGCCTTGAGATCAGCCCAGGATGAAAGCTTATGACCTTCTCAGATATTTTCTGGACATGGGTCTTGTCTGGACTGGGTGTGAATTCCCCCACCCTCCACACTGGCTGCTTTTACATGTTTTACTTTCTCAGAGTCTCACCCCAGCTTCTTCTTGTGGCCTTAGACGTTCTGTTGTATTCCTCTGCCTGTAATACCTTGCCCCCATGGGTCTGCAGTCTGCCTGACGTTTTCACATGCTGTGACCCACCACTGTCTCAAAGAAATACATGCACTGCACTTACTAGACAACGATTATAAAACACCTGTCATAAATATGCTCAAAGAGCTAAAGAAAATCATGGACAAAGAAATCAAGGAAAGAAAATATGAACAAAGAGAGTATATTAATAATTAGATAAAAACGATAAAAAAAAAGAACCAAACAAATTCTGGAGCTGAAAAACACAGTATCTAAACAGAAACATTCACCATAGGAGTTCAACATCAGATTCAAACAGGCAGAAAAATGAATGGGCCAGCTTGAATACAGGTCATTTTAAATTATTGAGTGAGAGGAGTGAAAAGAAAAAATAATGAAGAAAAGTGAACAGAGACTAAGGGATTTACGCAACATCAGTAAGCAGACAACTATACTCATTATCTTCTCCCCAAAGAAGAAGAAAGAAAAGGGCAGAGATATCACTTGAAGAAATAATGGCTTAAAGCCTCTCAAATTTGAGGATACATGGATATACAAATCCAAGAAGCTTCAATGAAATTCAAGTAACCTTAACCAGGAGACCCACACCAAGACATATTACAATCCAACTGTCAAAGCCAATGACAAAGAGAGAGTCTTAAAAGGGGCAAGAGAAAAGCAACTTGACATATACAAAGGATATCCAATAAAGTTATCAGCAGATATCATCAGAAACCTTGCAGGACAAAACAGTGAGATGATATATTCAAGGTGGGCAAAGAAAAAAAAAACAATAAACCAAGAATATTTTATGCAGCAAAACTGGCCTTTAAAAACAAGGGAGAAATCAGGATATTCTCAGACAAATAAAAGCTGAGAGATTTCATCACCACTAGACTTGTCTTAAAAGAAATGCTACATGGAGTCCCTCAAGTTGAAATGAAAGGATGCTTGACAGTAATGTGAGCCCATATGAAAATATGAAGTTCTCTGGTAAAGGTAAATATATTTAAGAAATGTAAAAGCCAATATTGTTGTAATTTTAGTTTACAACTCCACTTCTTATTTTTACGGGATTTAAAAGTCAAATAGATAAAAAATACTTATGAATCTATATTAATGGGTACATAGTATATAAAGATATAATTTGTGACTTTAATAACATGTAGGGGGACAGAGCTGTAAAGGAGTAGTTTGTATATGTGATTAAAGTTAATTAGTATCAATATAAGACACAATGTTATAACTTTAGAACAGTATATGCAATAGCCATGGTAAACACAATTAAAATATCTATACAATGTACACAAAAAGAAATGAAAAGGGAATCAAAACTTGTCATTATAAAAAATTTAACTAAATACAAAAGAAGGCAGTAATGAAGGAGATGAGGGAGGAAAAAAAACTGAGACATACAGAAAATAAATAACAAAACGACAAAAGTGTTTCCCTACCAGTAACTTCTTTAAGTGAATGTAAATGGATTAAATTCTCCAATCAAAAGACATATATTTGCAGAATAAAAAAATAGTATCCAATTATATGCTGTCTATATGACACTCACTTTAGCTCTAATGACACACTAAGATTAAAAGTGAAAGAATTGGGCTGGCCGAGTGGAGCATTGGTTAAGAGCTGGCAGAGGGCCCCGGTTCAGATCCCACATATGAGGGCCAGTGACACTGCCCTCTATAGCTAAGATGCTGAACAACAGCTGAACCTGGAGTTGGGCTGCTGTGAGTCGCCGGCGAAGGCATAGGCTGCAACCCCTGCTGCAGTGGGTTGCCGAGGCTACCGTGTGTATCCAGCAGCCAGAGTGAGCAGCCAGCAGCCACAGTGAGCGGTTGTCCAGAAGCCGGTGACTGATCTGCCTCGCCTGGGAAGAGCGCAATGATGATGCCAACTTGGGCCAGTGAAGCAACGTCCTCCACAACTAGACTGAAGAACAAAAGGACAGCAACTTGTCTGTTCCCCTTCCCCCAATTTCCCAGCGCTGTTCCCATCCCCCAATTCCTCAATAAAATCTTTAAAAAAAAAAAAAGTGAAAGAATTAAAAAAGATATTCTGTGCAAATAGTAACCAAGAGAGCAGGGAGACTTTAAGTCAAAACTATTAGAAGACACAAAAAAGGTACTATTTTGTGTGTGTGTGTGTATACATTAAATTATATAATATATAAAATTAAATATATATATATCATACATACATACATACATATATAAGACAGCTCTATAATAATAATAAGAGACTTCAACATCCCATTTTCAATAATAGATAGAACCAGACCAAAAAATTAATTTAAAAAATACAGGATTTGAACAACACTACAGACCAATAGGACCTAATAAATATATTAGAACACTCCACCCAACAACAGCACAACACACATTTTTCTCAAGTGCACATGGCATATTCTCCAGGAGAGACCATGTGTTAGGCCACAAAACAAGTTTTAATAAATTTTAAAAGACTGAAATCAAACAAAGTATCTTTTCCAATTACAATAGAATAAAACTAGTAGCCAACAGCAGAAAGAAAACTGGAAGATTCACAAATATTGGACATTAACACCCTCTTAGACAACCAGTGGCTCAAAGAAAAAAATCACAGAAAAATTAGTAAATACCTTGAGACAAATGAAAATGAAAACACAATATAACAAACTTACGGGATACAGAGAAAGCAGTGCTATGAAATTATAACTGCAGACACATTAAAAAAGAAGAAAGGTCTCAAGTCAACAACCTAACTTTTCACCTTAAAGAACTAGAAAAAGAGAGACAAACTAAACTCAAAGGTAGCAGAAAAAAGAAAGTAATAAAGATTAGAAAAGAGATTAAAATAGAGAATAGAAAAATGGAGAAAAAAATTAACTAAACCAAGAGTTGGTTCTTAGAAAAGATCAACAAAATTGACAAACCTTTAATTAGATTAACTAAAAAAAAGATTCAAATAACTAAAAATCAGACATTGCTATCAATTTTACAGAAATTATAGGATTATAGGAGAGGAATATGAAGAACTATACACCAACATATTGGATAACCTAGATGAAATAGACAAATTCTAGAAACACACAACATGCCAAGACTGAATCATGAAGAAATAAAAAATCTGAATAAAGCTATATCTAGTAAAGAGATTTACACCAATCTTTCTCAAACTCTTCTAAAAACAACTGAAAAACTCAAAAACACTTAAAAAAACTGAAAAACAATTACAAACTCATTCTATGAGGGAAGTATTAGCAAAGTCAGAAAAAGACTATAAGAAAAGAAAACTACAGATCAATATCCTTGATGAATACTGATGTAAAACTCTTCAAAAACAAAAAAATTTTTCAAGAAAATACTAGCAAAACAAATTCAACAGCATATTAGAAAGAGTATACACAAGGACCGGCCGAGTGGCTCAGTTGGTTAAGAGCTCGCTCAAGAATGCAAGCTCTGAGCAATAGCGGTTCAAGTCCCAGCCCAAGGTGAGCTGCCACTGAGCTGCCAACCGGTGGCAGAATGGCTCAGTTAAAAAAAAAAAAAAACAGATTATACACCAAGAACAAGTGGGATTTCTTCCTGAATGCAAGGATGATTCAACAAAAATCAGTGTAATGTACTACATTAACAAAATGGGGGGTGGGGAGGAACACACATGATCATCTCAATTGACACAGACAAAGTATTTGACAAAATTCAAGATGTTTCCATAATAAGAACACTCAACAAATTAGGAATACAGAAAAAAACTATCTCAATATAAAATAGGCTATATATGAAAAGCCCACAGACAATCTTATACTCAATGGTGAAAGATTGAAAGCTTTTCCTCTAAGATTAAGAATAAGGCAAGGATTCCTGCTTTCACCACTTCTATTCAACATAGTATTGAAAGTTTTAGCCACAGCAATTAGGCAATAAATAAATAAATAAATAAATAGCATCCAAATTGGAAATGAAAAAGTAAAACTATCTCTGTTTGAAGAGAGTATGATAGTATATGTAGAAAGCTACTGGTTCCACACACACACAAAAAACTATTAGCACTAATAAACAAATTCAGCAACCTTGCAGGATACAAAATCAACACACACAAAAAAAAATTAGTTCATTTCTATACACTACCAATGAACAATTCTATTTACAATAGCATCAAAAAGACTAAAACACTTAGAAATAAATTTAATCAAATAGGTAAAATACTTGTATACTGAAAACAACAAAATGCTGCTGAAAGAAATTAAAGAAGATAGCAAAAATTGAAAAGACATCCTGTGTCCTGTGTTCATAGAGTGGAAGACTTAATATTGTTAAGATGTCAATATAACCCAGAGTAATGTACAGATTCAATGACATCCTCATCAAAATCCCAATGACGTTTTGCAAAAATGAAAAAATCCATATGAAATCTCAAGGGACGCTGAACAGCCAAAACTATGTTGAAAAAAAAAAAGAAGAAGAAGAAGAATAGAGTTAGAGGTCTCATACTTCCTGATTTCAAAACTTACTAAACTTACAAAAGCTATGGTAATCAAGAGTGTGGTACTGGCATAAAGACAGATATATAGACCAATGGAAAGAATAGAGGTCAAAAATAAACTCTCAAATGTATGGTCAAGTGATTTTCAACAAGGGTGCCAACATTAGTCACCCTTTCAATAAATAGTTATGGGGAGAACTATATAGCCACATGCAAAAAAGTGAAGTTGGACCCTTATCTTATACCATATACAAAAATCAACTCAAAATAGATAATAAACCTAAATATAAAAGCTAACACTACAAAACTCTCAGAAAACAAAAAAACATGGGGGAAGCTTCGGGACATTGGATTTAGTAATGATTTCTTGGGCATAGAACCAAAAGCAAAGGCAACAAAAGTAAAAATAGATTATGTCAGACTTAATCAAAATTTAAAACTTTTATGCATTAAAGGACACAATCAACAAGAGTATAAAAGGCAACCCTCAGAATGGGAGAAAATATTTGCAAATCATCTGATAAGAGACTGATATCCAGATATATAAAGAACTCCCATAACTCAACAACAACCACAACCACCTCAATTTTAAAAATGAGCAAAGAATTTGGATGTTTCTCTAAAGAAGATATATAAATGGTCAGTAAGCACATAAAAAATATTCCATATCACTAATAATTAGGGAATTCAAATCAAAACCACAATGAGATACCACCTTATAACCATTAGGACAGCTTTTATTAAATAAACAGAAAACAACAAGTGTGGGCCAGGATTTCAAGAAATTGGAACTTTGTGCATTGCCTATGAGAATGTAAAATGGTGCAGCTGTGGAAAATGTATGGTGGTTTCTCAAAAAATTAAATAAAGCTAACCATGTAATCCAGGAATATCACTTCTGAGTATATATCCAAAAGAAGTGAAAACAGGGACTCAAACAAATATTTGTACACAATGATCATAGCAGCATTATTCATAATAGGAAAAGCAATCAAAATATCCATTAATAAATGATTGGATAAACAAAATGTGGTATATACATACAATGGAAAATTATTCAGCCTTAAAAAAAAAAGGAAATTCTGGGCTGGCTGAGTGGCGCGTTGGTTAGGAGTTGGCTTGGGATGCCAGCTCTGAGCAGCAGGGCCCCAGTTCGGATCCCACATGAGGGCCAGTGACGCTGCACCCTCTACAGCTAAGATGGCGAAAGGTGGTGAACAACAGCTCGACCTGGAGCTGGGCAGCCTTGAGTCGCCGACAACGTCGTAGGCTGCAGTGGGGCTGGCTGGCAGCGGGCATGAGCTGCGGTGAGCCACTGTGGCGGCCGTCCAATGGCCAGCAAGTGACTGCCTCACCCGGGAAGAGCGCAATGATAATACCAACATGGGCCAGTGAAGCGACGTCCTCCACAACTAGACTGACGAACAAAGGACAGCAACTTGTCTGTTCCCCTCCCCTGATTCCCCAATAAAATCTTTTTTTAAAAAAATGGTTTAAATGGTAAATTTTATATTATGTATATTTTACCACAAAAAAAGTAAAATAATTGTTATACCCAGAAGAAAATTTTAATAGGTTTGATATGTCATTTCCATATTTATAGCACTTCTAAGCCATTTTCCTGGCATAACCTTCCCTGAAGCCCCCTACCCTACCTCTACCACCCAACCTGCTGAATTATGTCAGTAATCCTATCTTCCTTGCAAAAATCTAGGCAAATAATTCCCTAGCTTCTTTTATGATTGGACTACCAGATTTAGTAAATAAAAATACAAGGCACCAAGTTATACTTGAACTTACAATTAATAATTTTTTAAATAAATAATGAACATTTTTAATGTAAGTATGTCCCATGCAATATTGGGGATATATTCATACTAAAAAAAAAAATTTGTTCTTGTTTATCTAAAATTCAAATTTAACTGGGTTCCTGAGTTTTATTTGCCTACCCTACAAATGTTCAAACAGTTCCTTTGATCTATATATGCTGTTTATTCAACACCATCGACTCAAGAGCAATTTTTATTGATGTACTAATTTTTTATTGACACTAATTTGTTGATGTACTAATCAGTGTCATTCTTCTTGTTTTTACTTAAGCAATTGGGTTCATTATTCCAATTCCTGCTTTTTTATTGCTTCTAATTATTACATGTAATGTTAAGATACTTTGTCCCCAAAAATCATTTTAACACATTTTGAATAATAAATGTGTACCATGCAGCACCTTTTGGGGAACAGAAGGGTGTACCTTGAAAAGTCATCGACTGTAATTTTATAATTACAAAAAGTCCTGCTGACTGACAGGCAAGGGCCTCTCCATATATGTTCCTCTCTATGTAGTCACTGCGCTTTTGGGTCTTTTTTCAGTTATCAAGACATCAAGCGTTGCAGCTCTGGCACTGTATGGAGCAACCTGAGCCCTTACACCTGTCTATCCTTTCAGCACTGTGCCACCTAAGGCAACACTGAAATAGACAGATCTTTCCAAGGAAAACCACTGCTGGTTCCTCCCGTTACAGGTCTAGGGCAGTGGGAAAAAATGTGATCCTGTGTTGAAAGGAATTACCGTATTTGCTGGCGTATAAGACGATTTTTTGGCCCTGAAAAATATGCCTCCAAGTGGGGGGTCGTCTTATACGCCAGGTACACTTCAGATAGACTGCCCATAGTGCTTGCCCCGTGCCATAGTGGCCTCCCGATGCCCGCCCACTTCATTCCACATACCGTTCAGGCATCAGCAGCGCTGCTGGGTGTATGCTTGGCTGTTATGCGATTTTGCTGTTATGCGATTTTACCACACTCACAAAATCGCACACAGCCGACCATATAACAAACTCTGTATTTTGAGTGGAAATGTGTTAGGGGGTCGTCTTATACGCCGAGTCGTCTTATACGCCGGCAAATACGGTATGTGAGCTCCTTGGTCTGAGAACTAACCTAGGACTATTTACTACCTACGAGAAGATAGGTGACGATCAAAGCAGAGTCTGCTTGCTTTTACCTGGAGGGGCACCACCCTGGACATCAGGTGATCAAAATAAAGGTCCACTGCTTCGGTGAAGCCCTTGTAAGTTGTTCTTAGCCTCATGTCAGAGTCTTGGAGTAGCCAGCTTGAATAAAAAAAAAAGGGGGGGAGTTAGTTCCACTGTTTGTGGGCTTGCTCTGGGCAGAGTGATGTTAGTGTGAAAAGGAAGCAGCTTCAGAGTGCTCAGGAATGAGTCTGGAGACCATTCCCTCCCCACTCCCTCTACTCAGCCAGTAAGTAGGAGATGATGCCAACTGATTCAGGAACACACATGGCCCAGCCTCAGCCCTGCGCTCAGCACTGCTTCCCTACAGAGGACACCAGCCCTGGTGGGAATTTATTTCCAGCTGCATGGCTATAGATCTGGCTGCCAAAGTGAGAAAAGCTTTTCATTAGACCCAAGGCCCAGTTTTCAAGCATTTACTCCACAACCTCATTACAATGGGTGAAGCCAAAGGCGTTAGGCATCGCTAGGACTAGAGAAGGACACAGACGCAACCTTCCAGTGTCACATAGAAAAACAAGCCTTAAATGGAGACTGTGAGAGGCTAATCCGGCTTCCTGCTGCTCTGGCCCAGCTCCCCTGTGCTTACCTGGCAGACTCATTTGCATCATTTGCATCATTTGCATCAGCTATTCAGAGCTCAGCTCAGGTGGGGAGCAGGTGAGTAAGAAGATGAATTCTTCCTACAACCTGTCTGTTTTGATCACATTCCCCAGATAAACACAGAGCATTCGTTCCAGAGCTGGAGTCAAGGTATTTTTCCATCTCACTTGAAATTCTGAGGAAACGTTTATATTTTCTTACAAAAGGCTCTGAAGCACTCTTGTCCTGCTATAGAAGCCCTAAACAGGGTCAGAAATGATCAATTCATGTTAGGTAAAACTGGATGAGGCGAGGGGTGTCCCCTCTGCACTGACACCTCCACATTCCATCTTGCATAGAACAGGTCCGTTTCTTATCCCCGGTGGGATTCTGCCTCTTTTCCAGCAGTCCCTGCTTGGTGTGCCCATCCTCTATGTGGCCAGGGCTTGAATGAACAGGAGCTGCACCGGGAGGTCTGAGTGCTGGAGCTCCCTGCTGCTTCTGAGCTAAGGCTTAGGTCCTGGTCGCTTCCTGTACCCGCTCTGGCTGAGCCTGAGGACATCGCTCACACACAGATTTCTAATCCTCGGGTGTCCAGAGAGGCCACTCCGGCTGTGTTCACAGCTTTGTTGAATGAATGGCACAGCGACAGAGAAGTGATCCTAGGCAGTGGAGGAAATGGAGACACAGTCTGCCTGTGGCCCATGGGGAAAGGCCAGGTCGTGCTGGAAGCAAGAAAGAAAACAAGGCCTAGGCTGGAGGCTGTACTCCAGGGAGGAGCAGTTCCCACAGGAGGCGGCATGGCAAACAGGGCCAGCCTTCCTCCCGCTTGGGGCGGCACAGGGTAGGGGAAGAGTGGAGCAGCCATCTGGAACGCAGTGAGGATGGGAGAGATTATGCCTATTAACAAGAAAATCTTTTTTTTTTTTATTAATGGCAATAATGGTGAGGATGAGGAATGAATGTGGTAACAGGTGATTCTTCTCTGGGTTTCTACTCCAACCACACACAGCAGTCCATGGACCTTGTGGAGACTACACATCCTAAGATAATTCATTAGGGACTGAGATTTGAAGATGAAAAATAAAACAAAAAACAGTAATTTGCTTCTCTTATACTTCATCAAAATACTAAGACTTTAAATAAAATAAATGCTGGTACCATTCCTAAGAAACAGATAGGCAGGTTCATTTTTTCCTGTTTTGTAGACAGGAAAGTGAGGTCTAGAGCAGAAAAATGACCTGACTGAGGGCCCAACTCACAGCGGAGCCCTGATGAAGTGAAGGGCCTGGGAACGGCCAGCCCTTCTGCTGCTGCTTGCCACATAAAAACCACATGGCATTTGACAAGGACAATGATTTGGAATCATTTAAAATAACCCCATTTGGATGCAACTTATTCTGAAAAAGAACTTCAGTACAGAATGAAGAAACATACTTTAAAAGCAAAGTTAAACCTATGTTTGTGACTCACATTTTGCATAAGCATACAGGATAACTCAAGCTGTGGCTGGAGCCCCCACAGCCCCACTCACCTGGGCAAGCCCCCGAGGTCAATCTCACTGCAGATGTAGGGGCCTGGACGCAGAATCACCCACAGCCCGATCTCCGCAGCCATCAGGACAAAGGCCCTAGGAAGGTCAATGTCAGCAACTCTCAGGACATCTGAGTGGAGGGTGGGGATGAGCCCAGCACACATCGCAGGGTGGCAGAGCTGCCCGGCTCCTCACCTCACCTGCCTTCCTCTCTCACCCAGAGACTGGGGTGAGTGAAGGGAAGGCTGAGCCCCTGCCCCCAGCAGAGCAGGGACTCCTACACCAGGTCATAGGCCAGAGGTCCTGGGAGCTGGGTTCTCGCTGGCTCCCAACCTAGGATGGTCCGCACAGCCCCACTGGGTCATGAGGAAGAAGGGCATCACACAGGGGACAGGGGCCCTAACAGTGGACCTGGCTCCAACGACCTCGCTGCCCTGAAGGGGTAACCCCTGTCCCAGCCTGGGTGGCTGGACCCCACAGCAGAGCAGGTCCAACACTGGGGATCATGCACCTCTGGGCTGCAGTGAGGAGGACGGGGCTCAGAGGAGGCAGGCCCGGCTGCCTAGGAGTAACAGGTTCATTGCTGGAGAGCATCTGGTCCTGAGTGCGAGCCTGTCAGTGTCCTGAGAACAAGGCTCTGGACCCCAGCCTCCCTCTGGTTCTCCAAGCAGAGCCGAGACGTCACTGTGGTCCCTAATCAACCAGAGCCAGCCTCCTTCCTGCTTCCCCGGCCTGGGCCAAGTCACAGAAGCAGCAACAGCACGTACTCCAGATCCAAGTTCCCAGAGAAGTCAAATTTGCCTCTTTGTGGCTCATGAAGGTTCCACGGAACATAGCTGTAATAGAAAAGATAATTATAGGCCTGACCTTTTCATTTATCCCACTTCATCTCCCATATTACCGCCTTTATCCCTAAAACACCTTATAATGGTTGAAGATGTATTTCCTAGGTACATTGTCTTAGTGACATCAGGACTGGAACCAAGAACTAAGTGAAGAGATGGAGAAGCTCTAGGGAACCCAAGGACAGTCCCCAGGGGACTAGGAGCTCACATCCTTAGGAGAAGGAAGAGAAGGCCAACAACATATGGGTGAAGCGTAAGACATGGGCACAGGATAGCTTGGGCTGTGCTCTCTCACCTCCTGCTGTCCTTCTCTCTCTCTCTTCACCAGAGAAAAAGAAGTCGCTTCATGGGAGAAACAGTTAAAAGTCGTGTAAAAGAAGACCTTAATTATTAGTCCTATTTTCTAACTGAAGCAACGAATTCCAAACCTTGTAACAGAAAAGAGGTTCTAACTCTAGAGAGAGGATGAGGAAATGAAGTAAGTTCTTTAAAGGGCCCAACTCAAGAGGCAGAGGTATGGAGGGACATATGACAACGGTAATGACAGCTGCTCCTCTCCTGGACTCCCACCCACCCCTGGCTTCTAGTGAGGCCCTCTCCAACTGCAAAGAATGTGTCCGGGCCTGAAGTGAGAGGGGAGGCTTGCTTGCTTTGGGTTCAGGCTCCAGAGTTACATGTTTAAGCAAATACAGATTATCCTGCTTTTGTAAGGCAAAATGGTTGTCTTGCAATATTCCTACAAACTTCAGGAGTCCTAGAACGTTTGAATGTACCCCCAGGATCAGAAATTTCATATGCAAATAAATGGATCCTTTTAAGGAATCTTTCTGGAAAATTGCACACATTTGTTTCAACTATGCTGTCATAGCTCAGAATATTCCTGTAACTCTTTTTTAGAATTTATCTTCAAAGCCAGTTCATAAACCACCCAAGAAACTGCATGTCCTTGATTTGCAATCCCATTTTTGCCGATAAATAGAAAAATACAGCCTGATAACCCACTTTCTTTCCTAGACTGGAATTCAAGTATCTGTTGGCAATTTTGAAAACTAAGTCCATGAAAAGGTCAAGATTTTTCGCCACTGAGCCTATTTTTTAACTGACTCACACACTCAACATTTTATTGAGTGCCCACCACGTTCCATCACTGTGCGAGGTGCTAGAAGGAAAGCTTCTGAAGGCAATTCTAAAAAGGAATGCTGAAAACTACTCACAGACCGTTTCCCAAGATAGTTATTTTGAAGAAGACTACACTGATTTGCTGTATTAATTGGGGTGTAGAGTGCTCGTTAAAAAAAATTACTTCATGATAATTGGATCATCTCCTACACCTATATTCCCCTCCTCCACTTTGTACAGTGTTGCTCTTTCTGGTCCCCAGAACTTATATCCATGGCCCATCTCTCATTCCCACTAATGGAGAGCGCTGCAGGGATTACGAGGAAGAGAGACTGTTTCCCCATCAGAGGCTGCTCAGATTTACAATCTGCCAGGCCTCACCCATCCTGGCACGCTAGAGCCCCCCAAGCTGGGCTCCCACGCAAAAGCCCAGAGGTAAAACTCGAGGAGCCCACGGAGGAACAAGGCTTGCGGGGGGGGGGGGGGGGCGGAGCAACACTCACGTGGTGAGGGTGTTCAAGCCACAGGCTTTCATCTTCAGCAAGCGGTCCCACCAGTATGCCTTGGGCACACGGAAATAGTGCACGGAGCCTCCAAAGATCCAGAAGGTAGAGTCCTCCAGCATAAAGTTCTGGCCATTGGTGTGCAACCCAACCCGCCGGTGCCTGAGCCAGGGAGAGATCAGGCTGCGCCAGCCCAACCTACAAAAAGGAAAGGCAGTCAGAAAGCCTCGAAGGTCGCCTTCAGCAGTGAGCAGGGGCACTGGAACAGACAGGCTTCGTCTTTTCCTTCGCAAGGCCCTCAGCCTTTCTAAGGAGGGCCTGCTTCCAGGGTGCTCACAAGAGGCTCCCACCCTCTGATATAGCCACACCTTGGAAGGAGCCTTTCTTTGACACCACTGACTCATCCGGCCCGGCTGTAAGGGAAGAGTAAACTGAGGATGCAATCAGGAATGACACGAATATAACATCCGACATGGAGACGGTGCTAACAGGAGAGAGGACAAGGTGGGCGCATACTGCATGGGAAGGATGGGCTTCGCGGGCTGGGAAGCTGCCTTCTGGTGCAGGGCACTTGGGGCGACTGTAGGGGATGAGGGGGCAGGTATGTCACACAAGTTCCTACAATGGCCAGCTTCCTAGGCCATGTGACTAAATATCAAAGCAACAACTAATTCAAATAGTACCTCTGAGCCACCTCACGGCCACAGCTGCCTGGCTCGAGGTGTAAATACCTGCAAAGAGGTATCTGGGTTAGAAACAGCATCTGTTCATTGACCAAATTTCCAGGTCTTAATTATCATCTAAAGATCAATGTCTTGTTGGCCAAGAGATAACCCTGCATGACAGAGAGTCCCACCTTGGAAAGCTTTAGTCCCTGAAAAAGCACTTCAATCTCTTGGATTAGCCAAGGGAAGCCCCCTCAAATTGATATCCATAATTCAGTGCTCCAGTCTTCTAATAGAAAAAGCCAGCAAGAGAAGCTGGGAGAGCCAGAGTTTCCAGCCAGAAAATTTAGGAAACTTGGAAACAGAATACAATAGCGGTAGTGATTCTGGTGCAAAAGCAAATTTTAGTTGGTGCCTTTTCTGTACCCACTACTTGTTACAGCTCCTGACACTAGAGTGCATCTTGCCCAGCAGGGCTCTTCTGCATAAAAAAGCTCCCTAAACTGCTTCTGGTCTGTCCACTCATTTTTCAACACTGGCTAAAATGGTACCACTGGGACACGTGTCCTGGTGAAGGCCCAACTTGATCCATTCAATCAGTATTGATACACATTGATTGGGGATTGTCGTCTCTTAGAAGAAACAGACATGTATGAACCAAAAGTGGGCTGACAGCAGCAGTCTTAATTTTGGATTCAACAATTTTCTGTGCCTTCCAAAGGAGCAGCTCCTTCACAAAGCTTCGCCAGCCATGTGGACCAACAGCAGATGTCACCGGGGCACAGAGCACATGCACCTCACTCACCCCATAGCTGACTCTCCCAGTGGGCTCTTGGGGTGTCCCATCCCTCCTGCTCTCTCTCTATCTCTCCATCTCTGCCACCAGCACTCTTCCCCTGCTGAGTTCATTTCCTACGTACCAGCCACCTTTACCTCTACCTACAATGCCAAGTGCTTCAGTACAGAACATGAACTTGCACACCCTACACTGTAAAGCTGCCAGAGCCCTGCTATTAATGGGACCATTTTTAATGGCATTTAGTGAAAGTCTATGGCAACTTGCTCTTGCTCCTCAGGAAGCTCACTCTCATTCTACCCAAGTTCCTCCAAACTACACGTTATGGTTCTGATACAGAGTCTTCTCCACCTCCCTGCACACTCAGATAATTACAATCCAGTGTCATGAGTGCTGCTGTAAGTCATGCACAGAGATATGGCCAGGGCTGGCTTCATGGGCGGGTGACCCAGACAGTCAGTCGCACAGGGCCCCACACACAGACGGCCCCCTTGCAACGAGTAATAAATAAGCCATCCAGATCTAATGCACAATATAATGAACACAGACAACATTGCTCTACAATTATAGAATGTAATAAAAATCACTTCAATGGCATATTACAATATACAAAGTAACACATTCTACACCTTTAAAATTTTGATTTTTAAAAAAAGGTCCTACACATGATTTCAGATACTCTCCTATCTCTTTCCTAAAATTCTTCATAATTTTTCAACAAGGGCCTCACATTCTCATTGCGCACTGGGCCCCAAAAATTAGGTAGCCAGGCCAATGATGGCAGAGGACTGTAACCGAAACATATAGGTAATCACTGAATGAAGAAATTACCTAAATCATTCAGGCAGAGTCAAAGACGTCATATTGAAGATGAGATTCTCACTGGGTCTTGAAGGCAGGAAATATAAGACAGCACAGGAAATTCGGGGCAAACCCAGAAAACAGTGAAAGACATATATTCGTGGAATGGTCTACTGCAGCCCCCGCCTCCTCAGCGGCCTGAGCCTGGGCTTGCTCACCACCAACTGCCTGCTGCTAGTCTGCACTGAGATAGATACAGAAATTGAGATACTCTTACAGCAATGAGCGCAATTTTATGTCTGTTGAAGCGAATCATAAAAGGTTGGGGCATGTATTTGGTATATCTTTTCATTTCCTTTTTTCTAGTAATTTGTTTTTATTGTGTTTTATAAAGTAACAGATTGGAAATTTTTTAAAAAAAAGAAAGAAAAGTAATTTTTCACGACAGACAGAGTGAGAAGTCCTTTTCTGGACCAGAAATAATGGTCTGGCGTTGGGCAGTTGTGATCATGGAGATGGAAAGACAAACATATTGACCAGTTGAATGTATCAGGCTTAGGCACCAAATGGCTGCAGATTCTGGAAGAGACCAGAATCATGTGAAAATCACTTCATCAGCAGCCTTCCTAACATGTAACTAAAGTCAGCTATACTAGAGGTTTGGGTTTAGCCACAATAATTCTCAAAGGTGGCAGCATATTTCAATCACCTGGGAAACTTAAAACTAATCAATGCCCAGGCTCCACCCCTGACCAATCTCAGTAGGTGGGGCAGAGGTAGTGTTGCTTTTGAAAAGCTCCTCCAAAGATCCTAACAGGTAAGGATGAGAGCCACTGGCCTAGGAAGAGTATTACAAGAGGGACTGGGGCAAGTTTGGGGGCTCTGGATGGACAGAGACAGGAGAGAAGGATGCCAACAGGGGAGAAGATGCCACAGATATCACTGACCACTTGGGAATCTCATCTAGGGACACTCATGAGCAAAGAGAATGATTTTTATTTACTCCTTCTTACTCTTCACAGCCCCCAGGATCTAAAACTCAAGCTGCAGCTGCAGGACTAAGTTCAGCTACATTATACTTAAAATAGTCATTTGTGGATAACTTGGGAAACTAATCACTTTTTTCTTTCTCTAAAGAGAAAAGTTCCATGTTCCAAGTGATTTATAAATGGTATTTTGGAACACAATTCTTCCAAAGGGCCACCTTTGGAAGGAGGACCACCTTTGGGGAAGTGAAAACAAAAACAGCATGTTTTTGGAGGATGAAGTTTTTATGTTTCAGGACATGAATCCTGGCCCTACCTCTAGGAGCACTGTAACCTTCGGTTAGTGATACTAGCTCTGTGGGCGTGAATCTGTTTCCTCTATAAAACAGGACAAATGCCTACCCTGCCTGCTCACAAAGGCTGTTGTGAGGGCCTGGTGTAAATGAAATCATCTGTGATGTGCTGTAAAGAGTCTTGCCACTACTGGAAATACATTTATTTTAGCTTAGCATGCTTTGCATATCAGAGAGAATAGCCTCAGGGTGCGAGGGTTTATGTCCTCAACATGGAATAATCCCAATCTTTCTCATTTAATTTAGCATTAATTATATTTTATGTGCTAGACTTTGTGCCAAGCTATTTTATTTCTAAATAAGGTAGAAATAAGCTTTGTGCCAAGCTATCAACTTCTAACATTTTACAATAAAAGTGTGTCCACCGGGATCCTGTGAGACCAGCCCAGCCCCTTAGCCAGAAGTCTGCAGATTCCAGCTGTGGACCAGACCAACCCTGCCTCCTGTCTTTGTGCCACATGCAAGCTAATGGTTCTCACACTTTTAAGTGGTTGCAAAAAAATCAAAAGAAAGATATTTTGGGACACCAAAAAAATTATATGAACTTCACATTTCAAGATCCATAAATAGTTTTATTGGCAGCCCATCACACCCATTCATTTACTTATTGTCTGTGGCTGCTTTGGGCACAGTGAAGTTACTGTGATAGAGACTACCAGTATATGCTCTGCAAAGCTGCAAACATTTACTATCTGTCCCTTTTCAGGAAACCCTGCCATAGAGGATGAGGCCCTGGATACTAAAAGGAGGCCTCTCCTCCTCCACCTTAGCCACTGGGCCTCCTTCTAGCCACCCCCTTGCTCTGGCTCTTCCCACCTGGCTCTTTCCTTTGGCTGCAGGCTCCTGACTATTATGGCTGTCGCATACCACACACACGGGAGAGTTGGTCTCCCTTGGCTTTGGACACATCTGCTCCAAAGAACGCACTCTGCCTTCACGCTTCATGTGCTCGCAAACTCTCCTGGCTCACTTGACCACCCACCTCCCGCTATCCGGCTTTCCCCTCAGGCATCCTACTCTCCTGGCTCACCCCAGGCTAGAATGAGGAAGAATTGGCTGGGCCGATTCTTTTCTTAAAAACAGGGACATACTGACAGCCTGGTGGTAAAAATACATATGTAATTCATTCTCTCTCTCTCTCCCCCTCTCTACCTTTCTCTCCCCCTCCCCACCCCATTGTTTTTAAAGACAGTGAGAATACAATTTTAGCAATCACTCCACCTTATTCTCCTGGCCAGAACTTCAAAAGAACAATCTGCAATTCTTCACCAAGCTCACATCACTGATCCTAACTTTTGTTTACAAATGCTAGGAGAGCTTCCCGTTCCCCACCCACTAAATGCAGAGGTGTAAGCACTGAAGGTGACTCTCTGTGACTCCCTCATTCCAATGCAGTCCCTGCTAGTGACACACACTCTTTAATCTGTCCCCTAGTGGATAATTAATCATCAGGAAACTTCCATCCAGGTTTACATCACCAGGTGTGTGGTCTGCATCTGCAGAGTATCTTCATCTGGAGCTTGTTAGAAACTCAGGCCTCACCTGAGACCTACTGACTAAGAATCTGCATTTTTAACCAGACCCCAAGGTTGAAGTC